AATATTTAATGACTGCCCTACTGGATTTCAGACTTGTATGAGGCCGGTAACCCCTTTTTTTGACCAATTTATCCCATTTGTAATGGGTGTGTATTTACCCAATGTCTGTATCCCCATTGTATGTGTGAAGTAACTAACTTGCTTTTGATTTCACAGGCTCATAGGCAGAAGGAACTTGCCTTGTCTCTGATGAGACTTTGGAATTGGACTTTGACTTTTGAGTTAATGCTGGAATGAGTTAAGACTTTGGGGGACTATTGGGAAGGCACGATTGTGTTTTGAATGTGAGGACATGAGATTTGGGAGGGGCCAGGGCAGAATAATACGGTTTGGCTGTGTCCCCAACCAAATCTCATTCTGAATTGTAGTTCCCATAATCTCTCCTACATGGTAGGTACATGAAGTTCTTAGAACACCGATACATAGTTACATGGCAATGTTTCCCCTTCAGGAAGATGTGGATAGTTTTTAAGCTGCTTGCATTCTAATTAGGAAAGACGATGTTTCCTTCATTGGAAAGGCTCCCATTAAATACTTGACAAAGTAAAATATTGGTACATTACAATTACGTTATTCAGAGTCTACTACACAAAAATATGGTATGAAGTAACATTGGCTTGAGTGATCTCTGGCAACACAGTACAGGTTCACGGTGTCAGAAAATAAGAATGCTCAGAGTCTCAGAAAGCTGAGCTCTAAAGACCCTGCACAGTCATGCTATCCCAATAGGTTTCGAGTTGTCATGGATGATATCAAAGGAAAAAAAATTTCAATGCTACCTATTGAAGCACAGTAAAAAAGACTTTATTCAGGACCATCATGATGGGTACAGGGACCACAACAATGGGGACTTGTAGTAGGGGAGAAAAATTGGGCTCAGCTCTGAACACAGTATGGGAAAGTGGGGATTTACAGACAGGGAACAGGGTGAGGGGCAGTGGATGGAAGATTACCAGGAGGAAATATCAGGAGGTATTCAGCTAAACTGACCTAACAGGATTCTAGCTGAAGGCAGGCCAGATGACCAGACATCATCTTGTGGGGTGGTGGAGGCTGTGGAGCCTGATCAGACTGAGGAGGAACAGATATGACAGGTTGGGTGCTCTTGCTAAATGACTTAACAGACTTCTTGCCAAAACTGGATTTTATAAGGAAGTCCCCAGACTGGGCCTGGAGAAAGGTTGAGGAGCTTGGCTAAAGTTTGACTAAGTGGAGAATCTTTGTCCATAAAGCCTGGGATGGATGTGAGGTCTATAGAGGTCAGAGAGCTACAATCTAAGAGGTTTTGGGCATTTGCATCACACATCACATTCTCTGGGTACTAAAGAAAAAGCAACAAGGCTTTAGCTTGTAGAGGCCTCCACGTGATGAGCATGTTTCCTCCTGAGCATGTTGGCTCCCTATGGCCATGCACTCGCCAGCGGCCTCTCTATGAACACTTTTTGTCATTTTATTGGAATAGCTGGGTTGAATGAGAGCCAATCCTAGTCCCAATACCATGCCCTTCTCACTCCAACTTCTTACTGCCCCCGGGGTTTGTTCCAACACTGGTTTGGTTTTCCTAAGGAATCCAGTTGAAAGAGAAGAGGGTATTATTTTTCAAATCAAATTTGTGCCCCGGGTGTTTGTAGAGCAAAGCAACTGCTTCACCAGGGTAGGGTCTCTTCCCCAGGGCCCAGTAAGACTTTCATGGGCCATGAAGGCAAAACATATTAAATATATTTTAATATAAAAATATATTTAAAAAATCAGATTAACATTATTTTATGACTATGTTGGTGTAAATGCCAATATGATTTCCAATCCCCAATGTTCATTTTCTTTTCTTCTGATTATAAAAGAAATTAAAACATTTTTGTAGGCCCCTAAAAAGGCCTTAGAGAATATGCCTGATGGGTAATAATCTGGCCTTTCCCCACTCTCGAATCATGGAGGTCGGGGCTATTTTATGTCTTATTCCTCTCTGTGTTTCTCAGCCTCCTTCTTGAGCTAAGAAAGTTAATGAATCTTTGCAGAACTGGAACTTTTATTCCTCATCATTTGACATCAAGCTGGAACTATAGTAAACATTCCCCCCATTGTTGAATTCAATCACATTAGAAAGCATGGTATTAGTGCACAGTATTTTTTTTTCTTTTATTTTATTGCATTTTAGGTTTGGGGGTACATGTGAAGAACATGCAAGATTGTTGCATAGGTACACACGTGGCAGTGTGATTTGCTGTCTTCCTCCCCTTCACCTATATCTGGCATTTCTCCCCATGCTATCTCTCCCCAACTCCCCACACCCCGCTGTCCCTCCCCTATTTCCCCCCAACAGACCCCAGTGTGTGATGCTCCCCTCCCTGTATCCATGTATTCTCATTGTTCAACATCCACCTATGAGTGAGAACATGCGGTGTTTGATTTTCTGTTCTTGTGTCAGTTTGCTGAGAATGATAGTTTCCAGGTTCATCCATGTTCCTACAAAGGACACAAACTCATCGTTTTTGACGGCCGCATAATATTCCATGGTGTATATGTGCCACATTTTCCCTGTCCACTCTATCATCGATAGGCATTTGGGTTGGTTCCAGGTCCTTGCTATTGTAAACTATAGTGCACAGCATTTTTAATTGCCAAGGAAAATTTTATTTTAACTTTGCATTAACATATTCTAAGTAATCCTTTCACCTAATACAATCAGATTCCTATGATAAGCCAAATACTTGTTTGTGTGTGTGTGTGTGTGTGTGTGTGTGTGTGTTTGTGTTTCCCCTCCACTCTTCATTGTATGACCTTCAGAAAAATCAGAGAAGTGGGCTTCCATTTTTGAAAAAACAGGGCTTTCTTAGTCCCATAGATAGGTAGATTGCAATTTTGCTTTTCCTGAAGCATTGCTGACCTTCTAAAATGATGCCTATGTATACATCATTAATCTATTTGCTTAACTTTTAGCATCTATGTAATGCTAGAAATATAATAATTTTTAAAAGAATTTGTTTAAAGCTTCAAAGCCCACTAAGGTTTGGATATACGACTCCAGAGGTAATATGAATGGGATGCTTTGTAAACACGCAGCCATGCCTTCCAGCTCTGCAAAAAGAAACAGACAAATAACAAAACTATGCCGTAAAGAAGGTTTGTGATGTTTCTCCTGGACAAAGGAATTCCAGTTTCCTTTTATACGTTCAAATCAAAACTTTCAGATGGTAAATGGTTTGATATCTAAGATGATTATAGTTACCACAAATCAACCTGATTGCTAAATGCCCTGAAATGTGATCTCAATTATTTTGAGGCACTTTTAAACTCAATACATTTGCATCTAGAGATATATTTCATCTTTCATTTGCTGTTAACATTTTACAGATTAAATAGTTCTAGACACAAATAGCCATTTGTATAATCTATAAAGGCTCTTCAAGTTATTTAATCCTGCAGCATTCCCACATCATCAAGTATTTTCAGAAAGTCTTACTTGAATTGAATATGTTAGACTTTGAGTAAATATTGTCATCTTATAGCATAAGTTTATAACAGTGCCTTTAAATAGTTTCCATGTGATAGTATCAGTAGCAATCCTAACATATCAGCAGTAAGCTAGTACCCTCTCTAAGAAGAATGTTTTCTAAAGCAAAAAGACAAATTCTCCTGCAATTTCTGGCATGAAAAATCCATGTTTAAAGGAAGAATCCTTTTTACTTTTCAGCTTTCAACAATTCTGGGATTAGGTGGTAGGAATCACTTCTTTCTCTTTTTTTCTTTTTTTAAAGAGAAGTAAAATTAATGCCTGAAATAGAAGAACTTAGTGGGTAACTGGGGAAATGCTGTTGAATCCTCCCAGCTCAACAGTTCCGCCTTCCTGCTCCAACTTCCCAGGGTTGGGGGTAGGGATAGAGACATTATAGCCAACTTCCAGAAAGTCCAAGTCATGGCTAGCATTCTCTGCAAACCATTGTGGGGGGTACAGGTGTTCCATTCACATGCACTGTCTTGGAATTGAGCAAACTCTGGGCAAATAGAAAGTGGTCAGACAAGTCCACAAAAGAGATGAATGCATAAACAGGTGGATGGCAGCTTCTCTCGATTTTGCCATAAGGGAATCCAATCATATTGTTGGGGAAAGTCTTGTATCTGAAGAAACGATTGCACTTTACATTCCACAGGAGCCTTTCCTCAGGATGAGCTGGTGGTTTAGACTTTGAAACTATCTCCAGCTGTGCCACTATCAGGCTCTCTCCTAGGTGACGAGTTACGAGTTTTCCCTGACTTGTGGGATTTGGGGAAAATAGGATGAAAGCAAAATTGTTCATCTGATTGTGAATTGGAAGCAATGAAAGTTCTCAGCCACAAAACTTGCATACATGACTGCTCTCTGATGACTAACTTCTGCCTAAAACTAAAGGAAATCATGCTTATGTGTATAGATCATGCATTGCTTGTGAGTGATTTTTGTTTCCCTCCAAATATCAGAGACTTTCTAGGCCAATGATTCTGAATTACATTAGAAGAGATTCCCTGAACCATAGCATCTCCACAGTGGGCTTTTAATTCAGAACTTCCATTCTCCCAAAGAAAACAGTGGAATCCAAGAATAATAATACACATTATGGAATGGAAATCAGTTCAGGAGAGATTTGCTTTGGGATTGTTGTTACTATAAAATTTTGTAAAAAAAAAAATCATCGTGCAAACAAATCTATTTGTGAGCTTCTACTGTTTTTACTTAAATAGTGATCAGCTTCTAGGTCCCTATTTTAAAATCTTAACCCTCTTGAGGAAAGAAATATACTATATGTGCATGTGTATGTGTGTGTGTGTGTGTGTGTGTGTGTGTGTGTGTATGTATGCATGTGCATAACTATATATGATGAAGAGCATTTGATATGTGTTCTAACTATACCAGTAATAATGACTTCCCTTCCAATAATGAAAGTGGAACTTAATCTCATCTATTATTCCGAAAGAAGATCTTTCATTCACCTTAAACTTACTTATATTTAAATTACTCAACTCTCTTTTACTTGATTGCCTTTTTTATTATGCTGAGGAATCATGGTGGTTATTGCATCACTACAGATTATAGAGTAAATGATAACATATACTGTTGACATACATATTTGCTGAGGGGTGAGTAAAGGTACCTCCTGCACCTTTCTGTTTTAAGATTGCCTTCTGCACCTTTTTGCCATCTGCCTGTGCTGGTATGCCTTGTCAATGCCCCTCTAGTCATTCTCTTTCCATGAGTCCAAGACTCTGGCCACAGAAGTCATAAACTTATCATCTTCCTCTCTGTATACTACAGATCTTATCCCCCTTGTCCCTCCAGGTGAGTAGCTGTTGAGCTCTGGCCCAAGCCTTCAGTTAATAAAATAGAGAATGAGTCCAAATCCAAGGTGTGGGCGGAGTTAGCTTTCCCTAGTGCCACTCCCAGGTGCGTGTTTATAATGAAGATGGTGAGCTTTGCCACATGCATCTGCCTGGTGCCCAGGCACAGCTAGTGGCTCAGTCTTTTATCCTGTTTTTCTCTGTCGCATTGGCAAGATAGGCCAGAGGAGGGACAGCACAGCTGAAGCCAGGGCTTCCAAAAAAAGTTGTCCCATGAAAACTGGTTGGGCACCTCTGGCAGGGTCTTGGTGTGTCTGTCCGCAGCTTCTTGCATGACTTTGAGGATTTCATGGAACCGGGGCTCAGTGGCTGGAGTTACTGGGTTTCTCTCTCTTGGATCTTTGGAAATATCAAAGAGTAAAGGTGGGTCATGATGGGTGACATAATTCCCGGAACAGAAGCACACGTGTGTGGAAAAGCATCCGTTGGAACCCACGGGGTCAAAGTTGGGGGTGAAGAGAAAGGCCTTCCAGATGGATGTACCTGTGGTTTAAAAGGATGGAAATGGCATTAGGTATGAAGCATCCTTGCATGTACCACAAATGAAAAAGTGATATGGAAATTATGCCGCCATGTGCTTTAAGAAGGTGAAGACATCATAAGACTGCAGGCACAATGTTTATATGTATAGGAGAGATTACGAAGCCACATGTAGACACACACACAGCCAGTGGGAACAGTCTTAAACTTGCTAGGATCTCAGTTAACAGTTTTTGTTTTCAGTTTCCAGAAAGTCCAAAAAATGTCGAATCAAGAATTAAATGAACTTTGGGAGGCTGAGATGGATGGATCACTTGAGATCAGGAGTTCCAGACAAGCCTGGCCAACATGGCGAAACCCCGTCTCTACTAAAAAATACAAAAATTAGCTGGGCATTGTGGCAGGTCCCTGTAATCCCAGCTACTCAGAAGGCTGAGGCACGAGAATCACTTGAGACTGGGAGGTGGAGGTTACAGTGAGCTGAGATTCTCATACTGCACTACAGCCTGTGTGACAGAACAAGTCCCTGTCTCAAAAAAAAAAAAAAAAAAAAAAAGAATTAAATGAGGGCCAGGTGCAGTGGCCCATGCTTATAATCTCAGCACTTTGGGAGGCCAAGTTGGAAGACTCACTTGATCCTAGGGATTTGAGACCAGCCTGGGCAACATAGTGAAACCCTGTCTCTATAAGAAATTTAAAAAAGAAAAAAGCAAGCTGAGTGTGGTGGCATGTGCCTGTAGTCCTGGCTACTCCGGAGGCTAAGGCAGTAGGATTGTATGAGTCCAGGTGGTTGAAACTGCAGTGAACTATGCTCATGCCACTGCACTTCAGCCACACACACACACACACACACACACACACACACACACACACATACCACACACACAATAAATAAATATTAAAATAAGAATTAAATAAGCATAGAAGTGAGAGTGAGGAAAGATTACAAATGGGAAATGGAAATAATCTTTCGGAGATGAAGCAGATGTTCTGAAATTAGGCTGCTCAACTCTATAAACTTACTAAAAAATCTTTAAATTACAATATAATAGTATATAATGTACACCTTTAAAAGCTGTTAGAAATTCCAAATTAGGGGAATTCATCAACGCCAGAATAGGATGGTTAGTTTTTAAAACGTAAGTTCTTTATTTCAATAAACTCCAAAATACTAAAATTGCTAGGAAAAACTGACTTACAAACAAATGAATAATTATGAAATAATTGATTCATTCCTATTTATCAGACAATGTTATTTTCTGAGGAGCTGCCTGCTCTCAAACACCTAAGAGAGGCCTAAACATGTTCCCTGGGTAGGAAAAATGTGGCAGATAAAAACAGAGAATTAAAATGTAAGAACTGACTAGAATCAGGTGCAGAACGTGAATGCGCTTACAGCTTTTACATAAAACCAAAGAGACATTCCTCCTAGGAAGCACCCCACCCATGTGGAAGTCATCCTGATCATTTGTGCATATAATGACATTGCTGACTTTTGTAATTACAGACATTTCATGAGCATCTGATCAAAATGCAAAATAGATTAATGCAATCGGTTTAAACCAACAGTCAGTGGGTCTGTGTCGTCCCCAAATCGCCCCTGACCTTGGACAAGGTTATTGATGGGAAAAGTCAGCCTCTCTCTCTCTCTCTCTCTCTCTGTGTGTGTGTGTGTGTGTGTGTGTGTGTGTGTGTGTATGTGTGTGTGTTTAAAGCTGAGAAAGACAGGGGAAGCAAGGTGAATACGTTTAGATGAATATATTAAAGAAGACTCATAATGAGATGCTTGCAGTCTGTGGCATAGCTGACTCTGCGAGGCAGGACATGACATCTGTGCACTTTACATGGGCTCAGTGCACCTGCTTCAGAAAGATAAGGTCAAGCTGACACACAGACACGCCAGGCTGCGGGAAGAATTCTGGGACTTGGTTACCATCTCCAACAGAGTTTAAAAAGGCAGCAGGTAACCTTAAGATGCTTCCCATCTACTCCTCTCATCCCACACTTGCTTCCTGGGTATGAGAGATTTCCTTCAGAAGCCTTTTTGGAGACAGGCTGACAGAACCTGCTGTTTGCAGCCACTTAGAATCCTTCATCAGGGTCAGCCAGGAGAAAAAGTGGTTACACAGAGAAGTGAGCCAGGAAGCCCCTTTTGCTCAGGCTCCCAATGCTGCAAATCTAGAGGGCGTTTTGAACTTGACATTCGAGTCAAGCCTCTGTGTGTTTAAAACCCCAGGAGAATGCAAGCTCCCCGAATAAATTCATGTAAAGAGCCTATATTTTCCACTTGCTTTTGAAAGCCACTCACACAGATCCCTTCATTACCACCTGAGCGTGATCCTCCCCAGATGTGAGCTGGAAGAACAGATCGATGTCAGGCCCAGTCAACAGATGCAGGCACGGTGGGGTGGGGGCCTGGGGGGCGGGGGCAATGGTGTTGCTGGGTAGTTCAGACAAGGGTAGAACTAAGAATTAATTATTCTAAAGGATTATTTAGCATGTTCTGGGGTTGCTTGTCTTTTTATCCTTTCATTTGGATTCTTAAAAACTTTTCATAAAAAGGTAGATTGCTTAGTCTTTGTGCTGTTTCTCTGGACCACTTTAGATTTACTCAAATGAGAGAAACAGAACTGCATATTTTATTGTACAGTGGCTCACAAGATAACAATCCCTACTTTGGGAGCTTGTTCTGTTATTCATTAGGTACCCAGGAATTGACACCTCCAAAGGTGTCATTTCAAAGATAAAAAATACAACTCAGTCACTAGACAAAATAGAAGGCACCTGGCATAGTCATCTTCTTTTGTTTAATTTATATTTTGGATTTGTATTTTCTAGAGCCAAGGCTTTGCATTTTCACTCAGGCTGGAGTGCAGTGGTGCAATCATAGCTCACTGCAGTCTCAAACTCCTGGGCTCAAGCAATCTTCTTGCCTCAGCCTCCCAAGTAGCTGGGACCACAGGTGCATGCCACCATGCCCAGCTATATTTTAAAAATTTTTATAGAGATGGGGTCTCTCCATGTTGCCCAGGCTAGTCTTGAACTCCTGGGCTCAAGCAATCCTCCTGCCTTGGCCTCCCAAAGCACTGGGATTATAGGTGTAAACCACCATGCCCAGCATCATCTTATATTTTTCATGGGTATATTTAGTCCTGTATTCCAAAATTATTTTGATAACATACTTCATCTTGAATATCCTCATATACTAGAAAAATGTTAAATTTTTAAATATATGTGTATTCACTACTGTATTTTAAAAATTATTGGCTGGGCACGGTAGCTCAAGCCTGTAATCCCAGGTGGAGGCTGAGGCAGGCAGAGCACCTGAGGTCAGGAGTTCGAGACCAGCCTGTCCAACATGGATAAACCCTGTCTGTACTAAAAATACAAAATTAGCCAGGCATGGTGGTGCATGCCTGTAATCCCAGCTATTCGAGAGGCTGAGGCAGGAGAATCACTTGAACCCAGAAGACAGAGGTTGCAGTGAGCCGAGACTGTGCAATTGCACTCCAGTCTGGTAAACAAGAGAGAAACTCTGTCTCAAAAAAAAAAAAAAAATTATCATCTACTGCTCTGAAAAAAGACTGCTCCTCTCTCATGACTGAAACATTTACATATTTTGACCAAACTGGGAACTTAGATTCATTTATAACTGAGATCCGATGACCTGGAAAAGGAACTATTAAATTTGATATAAAGAATGCAGGGAAATTAAAGTGGACAGGTTTTTTTTTTTAACTTGTTTAAGTAGTCTAAGTAGTGATGAGGACAATAATTCTACTGAGATTTTTAAAATCTGTACCCAAATTAAGAAAACTAATTGTCACAAGTAATGGTCAAATGACATATGACATATCAATGACATATGACACAGTACTGTTATGTCACTGGACTAGAACAAAATGTTTAGAAAATCATCACCAATCTGGTGAAACATATTTTTATATAAAAGTACCCCTACAAAATGTGACTCAACTCATGAGACAAGAAAGTTTATTGTCATTTAACAAAAAGGCAAAGAGAATTTAAGTAAGAAAAACTTGATGCCTAAGCCAGAAACTGATTCAGCATCCTCCACGTAGGATCCTAAAACAGTTATCTTATTAAAAATAAACTAAGCTATGAACAAAGGGAAATAAAGAGGTCTCTGAGATCTCTGGGATTTCCTGGGGACTACAGGGGCTTCTGACCCTGGAACAGGAAGAGACATGATTTCTACTACTTCACATTACAGCAACTCAGCCACGGAAGTGGAAGCCCTGCAAGGAAGCCTCCAAAATGAGCACACGTGCTCCCAAGGACAAAAATAGAGAGAGTGCAAACGAGAACTTTTGTTACATCATAAAATCTTTTTAAAAATCAATATTAGTATCTAGCAGAATCTCTCTGTTAACCTCTTGGAGTCGGGTTGTGGCAGCCAGGTCTCACTACCATAGGCCTCCATGACATCTGTTTTAGCAGTGACCGAGTGGTGAAGTTAAATATTAAAAGCTGAGAGAGCCAGCACCCTTATACAAAGGCTGAGATGTAACAAAAGCCCACCAAGAGTTTTGCCCAGGCCTCTCCTAGACCTTGAAGCATGACAAGGTAACAAAGGAATTCTTAGCAGGACCCATTTAGAATTAAACAAGTTTTACTGGGAGTCTGAAGAAACTTCCCAAATCTCCACAAACAAGTTTTATTGGGGGTCTAAAGGAACGCCCCAAACCTCCATGATTTAGCAGGAGATAAGAAAAGGGCAATCACCGCAGAACCTGGACTCATCTAAATTAAGTACATTTTCTGAGGCTCCAGAGGAAGGTCTTCAGGACTCAGACCTTCGTTATAGATTAGAAGAAGTTAATGACTTATGTCTTTAGATGAATGCACACTTACATATAGACATATCGCTTAGAAGGTATATAAGCTCCAGAAAAGTGTAATTTTGAGTTGGTTTGGGCAATATTTGCCAGGCCTTCTCCCTATACCCAGTCACAAAAATATCTCTTCCTCCCCAGTTCGTC